AACATGAATGTAGGATTGTGTTAAAATAGCAGGCTTTTCAAGCCCATTTTCTTTCAATATTGACACTTTTTGCTTGAGTGGGTTGGAAAACTGACAAACACAATGTATGTTGTATAAATAATTGAGCAGCATAACACTATAGTGGATATATAACTTCTTCCTTACCATTCTGTAATCTGCAGTCCTTACAAATTCAATGCTGGTTCTGTAGACACAGAGGTATCTCTTGATAAATGTACTAAATGTAGTGCTTTGTTTGTTTTCCAGGATTTTCTTTACATGCTGTTTGAAGACATCCCTGAACAAAAAGAGTAAGTGAGAATCAGGCTAGAAAAGCTGAAGAAGAAAGTAGAAAACAGATCTAAATATCAGTTGTGCTAGCCAGAAATAGTGGTTGAGGTTCTCATTTAGTATTGTTCAGAGTATTGTTTTTAAATGCATGTGTATGCATGTATCTGTGTCTCTAATCTCTCTTTAAATTCTCCTACATATATACACACACGAGACTTGCTGAGTTGTCGCTATCCCATGCTCCCTGCCAGCAGTGCCTTTAACTCACATGTTAGTAAGGCAGTGGTGAGGTCCTGTTTGCTATGTGATCTGAAGTGCCAGGCCCAGCTGCTCAGCTTCATCTGTGATCCTCCCCCCAGCTGCCACTGGCACATGGCACCCCAGAGCAGGGAGGCCAGAATGCTGCCCTGCATCTGGGAAGATGTGGAAGATGCTTTTTTGCGAGCATGAGTCCCTTACTGGCCCCTGCTTGTTGCACAGTTTGCCAGATGGGGAAAGATGGAAATCGCTAATGGAAATCCAGCGTTAAGTGCCTCACGTGCTCTTCAAAATCCTCCTGCATGTGATCGGCTAAAGATGATATGGCTAGTCTGTAATAGAGCTTTGAATTCACCCCTACTTATCTGTTGGCTTGCTCTGGACTACTGCAGACTACAAATACAGGTTCTCTTGGTAGCGGAGCTTGGCAGATAATAATTTCTTCAAATAGTTCATTTGCTGGAAAATACAGTTTGGGGGAGCAGGATTCCAGAACTCTTCATAAATTTGGGTGAATAGTTTTAGCTGAAAAAAAGGGGAGAGGAAATTCATAAAAGTCAAATGTATTGAGTTTTTTTAGTGAAACACTTTTATTTTTCATTTCAAAATACTTTCATTTGATTTTTTCCTTTCAAAATTATGTTTCTATTTAAAAGCATTAAAATGTCATAAGGAAGAAAAAATATTATTAAAAAAAAAGATTTTCTTTTCTTGAGAAAACTTCTTTCATTTTCAGTTGTTTCAAAAAAAAAGATTATCTCCAAATAGTCCCTTCAGCCAGCAAATAAGAAAATCATTTACTTGCAGCAGTTCCCCTGTGGAGAAAGAAGAGGTAATGTCCTTTTCTTCCTCACCATATTTATATAACCTGTACCAGTGTTAGTTGAGTGAAGGAAATAAAGGACATATCCTCTGCCAAATGTGCTCGTGCATGTGCACGTACACACACGCACGCACATAATAATACTAATAGCAAAGTCTGTCATCTTGACAGTTAAGAGATTTCTGCATACATTGGAGTAACTGAATTCATGCCTTCCACCAAAATGTGTGCATAGGGAAATACCCTGTAAAAAATGGGCAATTTGTAGTTGTGGACTCTTTAGAGTCTGCATAATTGTTTCATTCTTCTTACACTCCACAGTGATGGAAATAGAATTTTTAGCCATGGTTTAACTGTAATCCAGATGTAGTGAGCTACATAGTAACAATATCTCCCAGGACAGAACCAGGCCAGAAGAGATATTTTAAATTTAGTCCTATTCCATATCTTCAAGGTATAGATTTTTTTAAAAATGATAGCC